TGATGATGATGACGATGACGATGACGATGATGATGATGCTGATGATGATGGTGGTGGTGGTGATGCTGATAATCATGGTGATGATGATGATGATGATGATGATGATGACGACGACGACGACGACGACGTCGACGACGACGGACTGGGGGGGATCCTCCTCATCACCCTTATCTTCCCCCTCCTGCTCATCTTCCTCCTCCTGCTCCCTCTCATAATCCTCTTCATGCTGCTCCCTGTCATGATCTTCACCCTACTCCAAGCACTCCGTCTCAATAGATGTGTTTTACCTCGGGGAGGAAGATTGAGGAGAGAGGAGCGATGGAGGTAAGGAACGACGACGATGATAATGATGATGCTGATGATAACGGCGGTGATGAGGATGCTGATGATGATCATCATCATCATGATCATGCTAATGCTGATGCTGTTGTTGATGATGATCATGATGCTAATGATATCATGGTGATGATCATGGTGATGATCATGATGATGATGACAATCATGATGGTGTTTTCGACGACGACGTTGACAATGACGATGATGATGATGATCATGCTGTTAATCATGAGCATGATGATCATGATGATCATGATCAGGATGATGATGATCATGATGATTACGACGGCGGTGATACTGATGATGATGCTGATGATGATCATCATCATGATGATCATGATGATGACGAGCACGACGACTCATTAACGTCATATGATCCCATCGATGATGTAGCTAACGTGTGTGCTCAAGCCCTTGCTAAGCAAGTGGTCTTCTGAGTGTGTTCGAACATGGTCAACCTTTGCGCCAATGTGGAATACAAATTCAACAACAAAAAGCACGCGCCAACGCGGATCCTGAAAAGCTTTGTTGCATCTGCACATGCATGGAGCCAACTACACAGCCGACCAATGGAAAAGAGCGCGGCGCCGTGGTCACAAAGATCATGAACCTCCAAAAGGATGGGCGCGACGATGCCGTGAAGCGGGCCTTGGACATGGTCACAGAGCTTGTGCGTCAGTCGTTTAAGGCCTTTACTTCTTTCAAACCAAAAACGCAAGTGTACACTATCATTAACAATAACAATCAGAAATCTCATTCTCCAGAAGAACAATTAAACAAATACGTAAATAAGATAAAGCCACAGGACCTTCTCATCCAGCTTAACCACAACACGCAGCAGGAGGAGTACGCGCCACAGGGCGAGGAGCCGCCCATGGAGGAGGAATCACCAAAACCGAACCCGTCGCAGGAGACGCGCGGCAGGCTCCTGGGGGATGTCCTGGACCAGGGCGGCGTCAGACTATGCTCCGAATACGCCCTGCCACTACCTCAAGCCACCTCTTGCGCATCAAGTTCAACATCAGTGTGGAATCCAGGGATATCCTGGATTCCTGCATGGCGAACCGGCTCCCGCCTAAGGTTTCTACGGCTGTGACACAAAAGTCATGCGGCAAACAATAAATTGCTCAAATGCTTACAAAAAGTTCGTGATTGGTTTTGCAGTGTTTTTTGGCATGGATAAGACATTGGTCGGCTGTCGCGTGCGATTTTGCGTCGCCCCCGTAAGAGACGCTCTGGCCAGACAGCATGGCCGACTATCTGGGGCGATTTTGAATCAGGAAGTTCAACACCATCCGCTACCTTAAGTCCCACTCGAAGGAGGTCACGAGGGACTTTGGGGACGCGTGCAAAGTGGTGCACAAGTGCGCTGGCTTCTACATCATTGCAACCGTTGCGAAAAGAACACCAACTTCGGATAAAACGCACGCCATGGCAGGCGTACGTCGGCGTTTTGACAACACGTTGGCGTGCCTCAATTCGTAGGGGCTCCGAGAAAGAAGTTTACGAGTTCGTCACGGCGCCCCTTTTCGTCTCCGCGTGCTCCACCGACGCGACGGTGAGCCAGCGCGTCAAGCCAGCCGAGTACGAGAGCCGCAAAGACGAGGAGTTTTCGTTTGCGCAGTTTGCGTCGTTTTTGGATTATCAGAAAGTATGCTTGGTACTGTCGTGCTCATGGTTGTCGTGGTGGCCGCGGCGGCGGTGGCGATCGTGGCGGTGGTGACGGTCGCGGTGGTGGTCGTGGTGGTGGTCGTGGTGGTCGCGTCGGTCGTGCTCGCGGTCGTCGTGTCGATCGTGGCGGTGTTGGCGGTCGCGGCGGTGGTCGCGGTGATGGTCGTGGTGGTCGCGTCGGCCGTGGCGTCGGTCACGGCGGCGGTCGTGGCCGCGGTGGCGGCGGCGGTCGTGGCGGCGGTCGTGGCGGCGGTCGTGGTAGTGGTCGTCGTGGCGGCTTCCGCCGAGGTCGTCGTCGCGTTCGTTGTCGTGGTCGTCGTCGTGGTCGTCTTCGCGGTCGTCGTCGCGGTCGTCGTCGCCATCGTCGTCGCCGTCGCCGTCGCTTTCGCCGTCGTCGCCGTCGCGCTCGCCGTCGTGGTCGTCATTCGCGTTCGTGCTCGCCTCCGTCGCGTCTGTCGCCGTCGTGGTCGCTGACGTCGTCGTCGCGTTTGTCGTCGTGTCCACGGTCGTCGTGGTCGTCGTCGCGGTCGTCGTCGTGGTCGTCGTTCGCGTTCGTGTTCGCCGTCGTCGTGTCTGTCATCGTCGTGGTCGCGGGCGTCGTCGTCGTCGCGTGTGTCGTCGTGTCCACGGTCGTCGCGGTCGTCGTCGTCGCCGCGTAGTAAAACAAAAAACACGACCTCCGAGGACGCGACCCCGTTGCCGCCACGCGCGAGTGGGGTAAGCTGCGGAAGATGCGCCGTTTCTGAGAGCTACCCCACGGCACGCGCGCGCCCACGCCACCCCGAGAGGGGAAGACGACGCTGTGCAGCTAACGACAAGGCCCCAAGGCAGCAGCACGGAAAAGGCGTTACAAACAAAGACAGCAGCGCGAGGAACACAACGTGGGAGAGGCGCACACCGATTGAAAACACACCGAAAACATAAGCGATAACCAAAACGGTTAACACACACAGGCACTACAAACATAAATTGTTATATTGTCTTAGAAATAACATAGATTTAAACAATGCAAAACAAAACGTGCGCTGGGCGTGCTCACACTGCACACACCGCGCGCACCCCAACATCACCCCGCTTGAACACCTGATGCACACGGTGCGCACACCGTGCGCACCTCGTGCGCACACGGTGTGCACACGGTGTGCACGCGATGCGCGCGCGGTGTGCATACGGCGTGCACATGGCGTGAACACCGCGCGGACCCCTCGTCGATCGCCATCCTATCCGCCCAGCACTGCCCCCGACGGGGGGCGGCGGATCACCCCGACATCAAGCGCTTCTCCCCCAAGGAGGGTAGGGGCGCCAGCAAGAGGGGAGAGCGCGGCGAGAGAGTCAGAGAAGGAAGGACGCCGCATAGGAGGCGGAGGGGGAAGATGAATCGGGGAGGAACGGCCGCGGCATAACGAAGTGCGCGAAGGGGGGAGGAGGAAGATTAGGAGGAGGAGGAGGAGGAGGAAGAGGAGCAAACCAAAACAACATGTGTATAGTGGGGTGTGGTGGCCATGCTCCTCCCGCAAGCTCTCCTGGCCAAGTTTGCAAAAAAGTTGTGCATGGGCAGGGTTTGGTGGCATCCCAGACCTGAAAGACCAACAAACACTTGTGTATAGTCGGGTTTGGTGGCCATGTTCCTCCCGCAAGCTTTCCTGGCCAAGTTCGCGGGCTTCTTGAAAACGAGAAAAAAAAAAAACGTGCATAGCAGGGCTTGGTGGTATCCCGGAGCTGAAGAATAAATAAACAAACAAAAACAACGAAACAAAAAAACTTGTGTATAGTAGGAATTGGTGGCCACGCTCCCCCCAGAAGCTCTCCTGGCCAGGTTTGCGGGCTTCTCGAAAGCCAAGAAAAAACTGCGCATAGTAAGGTTTGGTGGTATCCCAGACCAAAGAAAAAATTGTGTATAGTAGGGTTCGGTGGTCATGCTCCCCCCGAAAGCTCTCCCATGGCTTTCGTGGGGCTCTCCTGGGAGCCTTCTGGGAGCATCCTGGGCTTCTTGTGGGCAGTCTCGAGACTCTCTGGGGCAGTCTTGGGGCCCTCTTGGGCCGTCTTCACACCTTTTGGGGGGCCTCTTGGGCCGTCTTGGGGCGATATCGGGGGCCCATTGGGCCGCCTTGGACGCGAAGACCCAGAAAGCAACTATGCTAAAAAGATAAATCTGCCTATGCAATGGGACGAGTTTTGCTTCTTCGTGGCTCTCTTAATGGCCTCTAGGGGCGTCTTGGGGGCCTCGTGGGCCGTCTTTGGACCATCGAGGTTCCTCTTGGAGCGGTCTTGTGTTGTCTTGGGTCTCTCTTGCGTCTCTCCGATGACCCAACTGATCGCTTTGAGTCTGCTCGCAAGGCCCGGTAAGACGCCCTGGGAGGCCCGGAAGGGTCAGCGGACCTTTTCCAAGGGCGTCCCAGGGGCCTCGGAGACGTCCGAAAGGGCGTCTGGGGCGTCCCCAGAGGGGGGGTCCGGTTTAGGAGGGGGTGGGGGAGTCCTGGTAATAAAAATATAAGAATAGGATTATATATATATATATACATACATATATATATATATATATGCGTGTACAGATAGATACTGATGCGTGTATGTACGGGTGTGTGCCGTTCTCCAGCAGGCTACCACGCTTACAGTAGGGGCGGAGGGACCGTCGGCGGGCTCTGTCGTGAGTCTCGAATCTGCGCCCTCTTGTCCTCACGTTCGTTCTGCTCATCTTGGGGTAGAGGGGGAAGGAAAGACGCGTGTCGCCCAACAGGGCCAATGCCAATCCGATCGATCCGATTCGATGTCGAAATCGGCCAGCCCGATCCAATTCAATTCCGCTATGCCGACGATCCGATGCAGCCCCATCCTTGAATGGTGTTGTTGTGCATCTTGGCGCAGCCCATTCGATTCAAATTCCGATTCCGTGCCGATGCGAACCGATTCGACACACGTTCCGACCTGATTCGATTTACCGATGCGGTGCTGACCGATCCAACGCCACCGTCAGCACAAGTTGGCCCCTTCAGGGCCACCGATGTCACTGTACATACACAAGGTGCACCGTGCTCAGGCCAAGCGCGCTGCCCTGGCATACCCTTTGCCTCCTTCGGCGGTTGCCAACATCTGTTGTACATAGGGCGCAGCCTGCTTTGGCCAGGCGTGCTGCCCTGGCCGCGCACGTAATTTGGGTTTGAGAGGAGCCCGAGACCGACATTGGCGGGCCGAGTCTCTAAAGGAATCGGAGACAGTGTAAGGGGCCGCGGCAGTGGCCAACGTCGCCGCGCGGTGATTTCAACACGCCGAAGCCCGGTTTTAAACGAGCAGCGTGGCTTGGACCGTATTGTTGCTGGCGATGTCCAGAAATTCGACGCTGGCGCGGGTCCTCATATTGTTACTCCTCCTCTTAGTTGCACGGTAGTTCTGGCATCCGCCCAGCCTCTTTGTGTACAGATTGATGGCGCCTCTTTTCGCAACCGGCTTGCGGCCGAAGAAATTTGCGTTCAGCATTCGTGAGACAGAGTGGAGAGGTCCTCCTCCTCCTCCAAAAAATTTCTGGTCGGGGCAGGATTCGGCCCCACGGGGACCGCGACGTCTGTGCGAACGTCAGAGGAATACGTGGAGCCAGGGCTCGCTTCCGACAATCTGCTACGGTGCCTCGAGGAGGAAGGGGAGGAGGGAGAGGATCGAGCAGACGGCAACCTGGAGGCAACGCACGCGGGGGAATCGAGGGCTGCAGGAAAGCGGTTCTTGATGGCCCCGGAGCTGTCACCGCGGGCCCGAAAGGTGCACGAGAGGTGCACATGTCTTCACCTTCCTCCTCCTCCTCCCCCTCCTCCTCCTCCTCCTCCTCCTCCTCCTCCTCCTCCCCCTCCTCCTCCTCCTCCTCCTCCTCCTCCTTTTCCCTCCTCCTCATCCCTCCTCCTCCTCCTCCTCCTCCTCCTCCTCCTCCTCCTCCCCGTTACGATGGGGGCGTTGGTCAGGGAAGGCGCCCAGGAGGCTTCAGACCCTGGAGGATTCCTTATCTGGTGAGGGCGGCGATGCCATCCATGGCCAATCCGCGATGGGAGCTCCTCTGGCTTCCGGGCCCTGGATTCCTGACCCACTGGGTTCTTATCGAATGCCCTCACCGCAGCGAACACCAGGGAGAGGAGGGGCAGAGGCTGAACGATGACGTAGAGATGACCATTCGGAGTTCCGCGCCGAGCCGAGGAACCTGCGCGGACCTCCGAGTTGGTCTGCTTTTGCCATCGATCAGCTCTCGGAGGGGGGCCAGGCCCAGCCCAGCACGCACCGGCGGTGCTGCAGCACGCCCTCCCGCCCCGGGCCCCCCCACGGGCCGAGACGGGCGCGCCTCCCGGCTGCGGCGAGTGCTCGCGCACGGGCCCGGCGGGGACGCGATGTTTGATCGATCTTGGATTCGGGACGATCGATCGAGATGGGCACGGCTTCAACGGGTGCGAAGACCGGCAGCGGCCCCTGTCAGTTCTGAACGGGATCCGCTGTCGGCGTCGCCGCGGAAGTTGTCCGCTTGAGACAGAAAGTCGCCTGCCCAACCGCGGCCGTTGTCGGCTTTGGGCAACATGTGTCGTCGGGCACGAGTCGGGCATCGTACCTATTTTGGTCCGTGCCCATTTCGGGCGTCCTCGATCGGTCTTCGAATTTAGATCTTCGATCGGTCCCCGACACCTCGATCCTCGATCGACCATCTGGCCCCGCCAGTGAGCTGGGACCTGGGAAGGGCTGGAAGGGCCTGAGCCCGATGGCCTTGCCACGGGCAGCGGCAGGACTGGAATGGTGAGGGCCCTAGGGTCAAGAAGTTGATACGAGGACCGGAGGAGGAGGAGGAGGTCTTGCTGGTTGCCAGCTCCTCCTCCTCCTCCTCCTTCTCCTCCTCCCCCCCCTCCTCCTCCCTCCCCCCTTCTCCTCCCTCTCCTCCTCCTCCTCCTCCTCCTCTCCTCCTCCTCCTCCTCCTCCTCCTCCTCCTCCTTCTCCTTCTCCTCTTCCTCCTCCTCCTCCTTGGGTGTTGCAGGGGCTCTGGTGTTCAGGCCGCTCCTGGGGCTGAAGTCGTGGAGCCTAGTCTCAAGTCGGGCGCGTCCCTCTACAGAGGGGATCTTCGCTATCCGCAAACAGTGAAAAAATAGTCTGGGGACGATGTTTAAACTATTCTCTGATATGTTTGAATATGTTTTGACTACTTTCCATGTTTCGTCCAAAATCCGCCTGTATAGGAACATGCCCGACCTGAGCCTAGTCAGGGCCGAGGCTCGCCGTGGACAGGAGAACCCCGCTGTTGTTTCTTCAGCGCTCCTTCTGGTAGCACGGTGCCTGCATCCGCTTTGCAGCGCGCATCGAAGATCGCACAGGCTCTGCAATCGCACTGCCAGGCTTCCGATGTCGAGTCCTGTCCAGCGACGTGGCCTCCAGACCTCCCGACCACGTCCAGGGGACCCGCCTTTCCGTCCCAGATCAGCTGGGCATCAAGAGGCCGAAGTTGGAGGGGAAGCGCCAACATGTCGGACGTCTGGGTTGCATCAGCAGCATCTCCTTCCTTGCTTGCTTTCCCGCCTCCCTCCTGTAACTCTTTGCTCGCCTGCCTACCCGCTCCCTAGTCTGTTTTCCTTTTCATCGTCCCCCTCCTTTCCGTTTTCCTCCTCCTCCTCCTCCTCTTCCCCCTTTTCCTCATCATCATCAGCATCATATCATCAGCAGCAGCATCATCATCGTCATCCCCTCTTCCTCTTCATCCTCTCCCTCTCTCTCTCTCTCCCACTCTCTCCCAGTCTCTCTCCCTCTCTATAGATATAGATACCTAGACGACCACCCTTCGGGTGATAAGGAGGTTCGGGGGGGAGGAACCAACGTCTCACTCAATTGATCTCACTATCGATCTCACTATCAATTTCATTCTAGCGATCGATCCCACGATCGATCTCACTATCAATCTCACCATCCCTTTCACAAATGATCCCACGATCGATCGAACTATCGACCTTACGATCGCTATCACTATCGTTCCCACTATCTGTCTCACTATCGATCTCTCTTTCGTTTTCATCATGGGGCACCGTCCAGACACCCGCGGGACACCCCAGCCACCGCCGGACAACCGCGGGTGGGCGATTGTTTCGCCTGGTTGCGCCTAGCCAGAGGAGGGTTCATTCCTCTCGCCCGCCCACGCAGCTTCGCCTCGCCCGCACGCACGACGCGATCACGAAACCGAAATTGACTTCCCAGTGGGGTGCTCTCCGTTTCACTGCGATCTCATCCCCTCACCGATACATATACTTATACGACAACCCTTCGCGTGATAAGGAATTTGTGGAGAAACCAGCTGATGACAACTGGGATGATTGTGATGGTGACGATACTAGTGATGCGCTCGCGAGCTGTTGACGAGGCATGATGGCGATACTGGTTACGATGCATGATGGACACCATGTTGACATCATCGGGACACCACAGGGACACAATCGAGGCACCATCGGGGCACCATTAGGACACTACCGGGGCACCATCGGGACACCATCGAAACACCATCGGGACACCAATCGGGACATCAATCGAGACACCGCTGGGACACCATCGGGACACCATCGGGACATCATCGGGACACCCATCGGGACACACATCGGGACATCAATCGAGACACCATCCGGACACCATGTGGACACCATTGGGCACCATCGGGCAACATGCGGACACCACCGGGACACCATCGAGACACCATCGGGACACCATCGAGACACCATGTGAACATCATCGGGACACCATCGGCACATCATCGGACCACCATGTGGACACCATGTTGACACCTTCTGGACACCATGTGGACACTGTTGGGACACCATGTGGACACCATGAAGACATCATCGGGACGCCATGGGGACAGAATCGGGACAACATTGGGACACCGTCGGTGCACCACTAGGACACCATCGATACACCAATGTGGACACCATCTGGACACCATCGGGACAACATCGGGACACCATCGGCACATCATGTGGACACCATGTTGACACCTTCTGGACACCATGTGGACACTATTGGGACACCATGTGGACACCATAAAGACATCATCGGGACGCCATGGGGACATAATCGGGACACCATTGGGACACCGTCGGTTCACCACTAGGACACCATCGATACACCAATGTGGACACCATCTGGACACCATCGGGACAACATCGGGACACCATCGGCACATCATCGGACCACCATGTGGACACCATGTTGACACCTTCTGGACACCATGTGGACACTATTGGGACACCATGTGGACACCATCAAGACATCATCGGGACGCCATGGGGACGTAATCGGGACACCATTGGGACACCGTCGGTGCACCACTAGGACACCATCGATACACCAATGTGGACACCATCTGGACACCATCGGGACACCATCGAGACACCATGTGGACATCATCGGGACACCATCGGCACATCATCGGACCACCATGTGGACACCATGTTGACACCTTCTGGACATCATGTGGACACGATTGGGACACCATGTAGACACCATCAAAACATCGTTGGGACGCCATGGGGGCATAATCGGGACACCATTGGGACACCATCGGGGCACCACTGGGACACCATCGATACAGCAATGGGGAATCGGGACACCACAGGGACACCATCTGGACACCATCGGGACAACATCGGGACACCATGTGGACACCATGGGGACACCATCGGGGCACCATCGGGACACCATCGGAACAACACCAGGACACCACCGGGACACCAATCTGGACACCAATCGGGACACCAACGGGACACCATCGGGAAACCATTGGGACGCTACCAAGAGACCATCGGGACACCATCCGGACATCATTGGGACACCATGCGGACACCAGCGGGACACCACTAAGACACTATGGGGACACCATCTGAACACCGCGGGATCTCACGGGACATCATCGGAGCACCACGGCGGGACACCCGCAGCACCCGTCCGCCGAACGGGCGGGGGGGACGGACATCTGTCTTGGCGGCGCCCTAGCAATGAAGGACACATTTCTTTCGCCCGCCGACGCAGCTTCGCCGTGCACGCACGACACAAACACGAAACCGAAACCAACCTGGTGGAGAGCTCTCTGCTCCACTTCGATTCCTTCTCACCCCCCAAACCTCCGATACATACGCACATGCATATATCGGAAAGAGCGAGTTCTACCGCTGCTGGCGGAAAACCGGGGGGGGTCACTGGGGGTTCCCAACCCGTCCCCCCCCCCTCCTCGAAAATCAGGGGGGGTCACTATTGGTTCGAACCCCTCCCCCCCCAGTCTATCATGAATAGGAGGGGGGGGTAATTGCCGGTTCGAAGCACCCCCCCCCTCGAAAACGGGGTCATTACCGGTTCGAACCCCCCCCCTCTCGAAAACCAGGCGGGGTCACTACCGGTTCGAGCCCCCCCCCACCCCCCATTCGCCGCCGGCAAACGATTCCCGCTCCTCCGGACAAACGATGGTCCCGACAGTGGTCCTCGGGACAGTTGGACAATGGTGGGGATGCTGGGACAGTGGTGGGAACGGTGGTGGCGGGGACAATGGTGCGGGGACAGTGGGACAGTGGTGCGGACAGTGGTGGGGACGGTGGTGGTGGGGACAGTGGTGAGGGGACAGCGGCGGGGCAGTG